GGTTAGCAGCCCGATTTGTAACCACTATGCTACCAGAGCTCCTTAAAGAAACTAGATAACTAAGTCAGTTGCCAAGTTTTAGAGGATCCATTCTTGACTGGCCCAGTTTCAGGCTCATTATCAAGGGATGAGAAATGCAAGTTCTCTTCATTTGATGGAAAACCATTAAAACTAACAATTTGGAATCTTTTACAGATATGCAGGTCCCTGTAGTCAAAAAGCAGATGCTGTCTTCAGACTCAACTGGGCTACTTACCTTGCAAGTACAGAAAACATTATAGTAGCTAGCATTGATGGCAGAGGAAGTGGTTACCAAGGAGATACTATCATGCATGCAATCAACAAAAGACTGGGAACTTTTGAAGTTGAAGATCAAATTGAAGCAGCAAGGTGAGTGACTAGGAGATGACTTCAAAAGTTATCTCTGCCCCCCCCTCATTTATATTATAATGTAGTAAGCTAGAAATAATTTGGATTGTCCTGGGATGAATTTGTAACCTTTTGATCTTTGGAGCAGATTTTTAGTGAATGTTATACTTAAGTAAAAATCTATATAATTACAGTTAAAAAAAGAGCATGTTCTAAATTCCTCTTAGTGTTGTAATCTAGAAATGTAGTTGATATGTGCTACAATCAGCTAGGAGTCCTGGTGTGGCAATGTAGGATAAGCACTGGACTGCTAACTGCAAGTTCGAGGTTTAAATCAACCAACTGCTCCTCAGAAACTCTATGCAGGATCTCTCTGAGTCTGAACCAACTTAACAGCACTTAAAAACAACAACAGAGATTCCAGTGTACCAAACACACGCAGACAAAGGGAAGGATAAATGTGGTACTATAGGATCAGTATTGGTCCTCGAACCACAAGATCGACAGTTCAAGCCCATCAGCTGCTTCTAGGAAACCCTAAACAGGGTCCTATGAGTTAGACCTGACTCAGTGGCACTTAACAACAACAACAACAGTAACTGATCAAGCAAACCCATCCTTTGGATAGAATAAGGAGGACAACGACCATGGTGAGGCCCAAGGAGTGGTTTATACAATCTGGATGAGAAAATTACAGAGCACAATCATCATCAGTTACAATTATAAGGGCTTTGTTGAGTATGAATCACATCTGATCTTTCCAGTTATGAGATTACACATAAATGTGATTTAACTTATGAGAGATTTCAATCATGAATATTAGTTACTATGTAATGAGTACATATCGAGGGAAGTGTTTTCCCTGCATTGTTTTTAAAGTCCATTGAAACTGCACAACAGCCCCACACATCCCCACATAGCAAGTCAAGAAATAGAGGCTCTTAGGGTAGTTAGCTTGCCAAATGGAACAGAATTTGGATCCAATGTTTACAGTTTATTGAGTATAACTAGTAAATGGGAAATGTAATATTTGACTTTCCACAACTAACTCTACAGGTATATGAGGAAGTGAAGCATAATAAATGGGGTGGTTAAAAATAATGTTGTAAAATAAACTGGGAAGTTCAGAAAGATTCCTAAATAGAATGGATAGAAAATGAGTAGAAAAACATATCTTTGAGAAAAGGAACAAGTAAAGAGAAGAAGAGACGATGGCAGGTTATTTATTAAGTAGCCCTGAGTAGATGGAAGTCTTTTATACCAAAGTTAATAATTACTTATTTTCCTTAACAATTGAAAAGAGACAGAGAGTTAGATTTGAGAGCGGACAAATTTGTTCAAGAGTGGCACTGTGATATTATAAAAAAAATGAGTTTGTTATCTATCCAAACTGTTCTGTGAGAAATGGTTTACAGGGCTTCTCAAATCTGACTAACTCCAGTTAAAAAGATAAGATGTGGTATACTCATACAATAATATATAGAATATCATTTTATCATTATCAACAAAAAACTATATACAACAACATGGATGAATTTCATGAGTAGACTGTTGAGTGAAAGAAGCAGGCCACAAAAGCATGTCTCAATTATATAAATTCCAAAATCAGGCAGAATCATCTAATCAGAAGAGAAATCACTCTTGATAAATTCAGAATGATGAGCCATGACCTGTCTACATACCCACAAACACATACAAATTCACATAAAGTTTTTATAGAATCCAATAAAGGAACATATTTATTTTTGTTCTTTTTCAAATGGGGAAATGACTAGGTGGACTCTGGGGTGCCAGTAATTATGATTCAGTTTTCAAAGATATGTACATTTTACAAAAGGGTATCAAATTGTACACTTATGATTTGGTACATGTTTCTTCATGTACATTTTGTTATTGTTATTGTTAAGTGCTGTTGACTTGACTACGACTCATAGCGACCCTGTATAGGATTTCCATGTACATTATTGTCTAATGTTTAGAAGTTTGTATTGAGAAGATAAGGTGAAAATGACTTACTTTTAATTGGACTGCTAACTGCAAGATCAGTGGTTCAAACCCACCAGCTGCTTCTCTGAAACCCTATACAGGGTCACTGTCAGTTGGAACCAACTTGATGGTACTATTATCAATCAACAATACAAAGACTTTCAAAGTCACATATTGGTCAATGCAAGCAACTCTTGCTTCACTCCCTTCACAGAACTACAAAATTAAGTCTTATTTACTAAATTAAAAAAAATTTAAATTTCTCCTAGAGTTTTGTTTGTTGTTGTTTTTAAATTATGACAGAGTGGTGCAGTATAATGCACTGGACTGAAAGGTTGGTTTGAAACACAAGGTCAGCAGTTCAAACGCAATAGCCACTCCTTTGAAATCCTAAACAGGGTCACTATGAGTCCAAACCGACTAGATGGCACTTAATAACAACAACAACTGATATACCAAAAAGAGCCCTAGTAGCATAGTGAGTTGGGTTGCTAACCACAAGGTCAGCAATTCAAATCTACCAGCCATTCGCAAGAGAAAGATGTGGCTTTCTGCTCCACAAAAGGTTTAAAGCCTCAGAAATGCTACACAGGGTTGCTGTGAGTCAGAACCGACTCGACTGCACACAACCACCACCACTGCTATATGTAACAAAATAATTGTTACATGTTTACCATTTCAAACATTTTTGCATGTACAATTCAGTGAACAAATGGACTTTTGAAATAAAGTTAATACGAATAGGTGCACAAAAACATTGTGTTCGTTTCTTTACATGGATTTCCTTCTAAACACAGTTTAGTGGCAGAAAGACTTTCCTTAATCCATCAAGGAAAATGTGTTTTTTATTTAATGGTGCTGAGCTAGCTAACCAATATTCAGTATAGCAGAGATTTATTAAGAGAATGTTTAATTTCTCAGGTAGAGGGTCCAGAGACCTTCTAAGCCCTACCCAGATGTTCTCCCTGCTCTTATATTTCTCCATTGTAGGGGCAGCCGCTCTTGAACTGAAAAACATCTGGAGAGATTTAAATTCAATTATGTAAAGAAAAGTGCATCTGGGCTGCAAATTTTTATATAAAACTGTGAAAAAAAACTGCCAGGATTTGTTTTCTGTGAATCATACACACACATACACACACTGAGAGACAAAATTTTTATGGACTCTTACAAGAGTAAATCTTGTTCATTGAGACCTTGAGTTAAAATGATAGACATTTATCTCAGGTACTAATGTGATTGCTGGCAGCAATTTGCCTTAGTTTACATTAGCATGAAGTAGAGAACGAGTGTCAGGGTTTCACATTTGTGCAGTTATCTTTCTTTTGTATATTAATTCATGGACTTCTTCCATGTGTTTTAGACAATTCTCAAAAATGGGATTTGTGGATGACAAACGGATTGCCATTTGGGGCTGGGTGAGTAGTTGTTTGGCTGGTGAATCTGTATGTGTTCCTTAGTGAATACAACCCAGAACAGGATAATTTATCTTTTGTATATTAACATTTGGAGATGGAAATCATGTTTATCATTTCTAAGTTAAGAAGATCCAGATAAAATATTTGAGAGCTCTAGGCAATAACCTTCTCGCCTCTACCGAGTATACTTTTATTTGTAGGGAAGAAGGGAGACTTTTTCTCATGAGTCAAAGTAAGGAAAGATTTATCCCTAGTTTGTTTTCTTTCTTTGAAATGATACAACCCAGTTACCAGGGTCAACGCATTTTTTCATGCATTGTCTCCTACATCTAGCCTAAAAGTGGACCAGGACTTTGAAGTGTAGTCCTTAGCAATTGCCCAGTTAAGGCCAATGTAAACCCTGTTTTTCATGCTTTCTATCTCTAAAGAGACACAGTATATAAAGATGTGAGAAATGTAGAAACTGTGACTTGCTTACCATATGTCCTTATTCCTTTACCTCTATAAATATAACTGTCTCTATTCCTTAGTCATATGGAGGGTATGTAACCTCAATGGTCTTGGGATCAGGAAGTGGCGTGTTCAAGTGTGGAATAGCTGTGGCGCCTGTATCACGCTGGGAATACTATGGTATGTAATTGCGATCAAGACCCAAGAGATGTTGAGTGTCAACCTTAAAATTCCAGTGGCAAAACTAATCCACTTTGAGTTTCAGCATTTCTACAGTGAATGAGATGGTTCATTTCAGAAGTAATTTATGGGATATTCTCTCTTATATTGCTATGTGAAAGACTATATGATATTAACTACACATTTAGTTACTTACCAATACATTCTGCTTTCTATATTTCAAAATGCTTCATTTCTGCAGGTAAGCCGGCCTTTTCTTTATTATAATTTGAATTTTTGGCTTAACATATTAGCATAGTTTGAGAAACCATGTGTATATCTCCCCTCAGGCAAAAGTAGTAAAGCTTTGGATGGAAACAGAATCCCTGGGCAGGCTTAATGGCTAACCAAAAGGTTGGAGTCCACCCAGAGGCACCCAGAAGAAAGACCTGGTTATCTACTTCCTAAAATTCAGCCATTGAAAACCTTGGGGTACACAGTTCTACTGTGACACACATGGGGTGACTATAAGTGAGAATCGACTTCATGGCCATGGTTTGGTGGGAGGGTGAGGTAAGGGGGCCAGGCAAAGGAAAGTAAGGGTAGGAGAATTCTACTTCTGAAGAATTTTGTTTTTTCCCACTACCTGAAAGTAGATTAAAGCCACTCTAGCATATTCTCTTCTTCACTGAGAAAATATTACTCTATAAGGCATCAAACACATGAGTACAATTACAAGGCTATTGTTCCCATGGGAGAAGGAGTGAGCAGTAGAACACTAGGTAGGTAGTAAAGAGGTGAATGATTTTCCTATTTTCTTCTCACCTCTTCTCAAGTCCCTAGTGTAATTTAAGGGTGTTGGTGTTGTTAAGTGCCGTCGAATTACATAGTATTGAGTCATAGCGACCCTGTATAAGGTTTCTGAGGAGTGGCTGGTGAGCTTGAACCACTGACCTTGTGGTTCAAGCTGACTTTGCAGTCCAACGTATTAACCTATAGTGCTACACCAGGACTTCAGTGTAAGGATGTTGTTGTTGTTGTTAAGTGCCTTCGAGTCGGAGCCGACCCATAGCGACCCTGTACAGGGTTTCCGAGGGTATAAATCCTTACGGGAGTAGAAAGCCTCATCTTTCTCCCGCGGAGCAGCTGGTAGTTTCGAACCACTGACCTTTGTAAGGATAGATTCATTAATAATGAATATCCTCATTAAATATTTCTTACTTTAATCCTGGAGTCCTGGTGTGGCGCTGTAGGATATGCAATGACTGGATTGCTAACTGAAAGATTGGTGGTTCAAACCCACCAGTTGCTCCTCAGACACTCCATATGAGGACGCTGTGAGTCAGAACCAACTGAATGGCATTAAAAACAACAGCACCCTAATAGTTTTTATTGTTGTTGTTAAGTGTCATGGAGCTGGCTCCCACTAAATAGTGACCCTGTATAGGGTTTCCAAGGCTTTAAATCTTTGCAAAAGCCTCTTCTTTTTCCTGTAGAGCAACTGGTGAGCTCAAACCACAGATCTTCTGGTTCACCGTCCCGTGTTTAGCCTATAGAACCACTGTGCTCCCATCCTAACCCTGACCCTGTGGAAATCTGTTTCTAAAGTCTCTCCCAATCAAAAGAAGCCACTGTGAAAACAAAACAAAGCATCGACATCACTCTGATGAAAAATTGAAGGGAGTAGTTAGGATTTGAGCTACACACAAGGATTTTTTTTTCATATAATATTCTTCTTTTTGTTATTAGTAATTCTTTTGGATAGCTTGTTTTGGGAGACCTCTGGTGGTCAATAAAATAATAGAAACAATCTGTAAATTTGTGGTGGTGGTATGTGTCATCGAGTCAATTCCAACTTATAGCACTCCTGTATAGGTTTCCTAGGAGCAGTTGATTTGTGGTTCTCGGTTCAGTTTGGAAATTTGGAAACATTTACTAAGAAGAGAATTTTATAAAATGTACATGCACCAACCTAAAATATAGGACATTTCCTCAAGTTCTTATGGTGTTGTTGTTAAGGGCCATTGAGTTGGTTGAAAGTTCTTATACATGCATAAATGTGAACAGTTTTTCTCAAAGATCTGAAATAAACAATTCATATGGCAGATTTCTAAAAGTTACATTATGTTGTTTTTTAATTTCAGATCTCTTATACATGTAAACATGGCTAGCAAGAATAAGAACAGGGCAATGTGTTCAATAGTCTGGTGCTGACAGTGTTCCACTGCTATTCATAAGGTTTTCAGTGACTAAATTTTCAGAAGTAGTTCGTCTCTCCTTCTTCCTAGTCAGTCTTCGTCTGAAAGCTCAGCTGAAACCTGGCTACCACAGGTGACTGTGCTGATATTTAAAATATTGGCATAGTGGCAGCATCAGTGGGCTCAAACATAGCAATGGTTGTGAGGTTGGCCCAGGACTGGACAGTGTTTTGTTCTGTTGTGTATTAGGATCGCTATGAGTCAGAACTGACTCGATGGCACCTAACAATAACAACAAATTGTGTTCAAACCATCCTCTGCTAGTTTGGAGTCCTGGTTTGGCACTGTGGATTAATGTACTGGACTGCATAGTTGGTTTGAACTGCAAGGCTGGTGGTTGAAGCTCACCAGCTGCTCCCCGGAAAAACTATACAGGATCGCTATGGGTCAGAACTGACTCAACAGCACTTAACAACAAAAACAACATTGTGTTCCATGACAAGCTGAATTGAAGTCTGCATCTGTTTTGAGAAAGTTTTACTTTCTCCTTAAAGGCAATTTTCCCCCTGTCAAATGTACTAGACCAAGTTACTAATATTTCCATATTAAAGTTAAAAAAAAAATACTTAATGAAGATCTTATATTTTAAAGCATGGTATTCTTTACATATGCAAAAATACCTGTAGTGTATTTATTTTAATCTAAATTATAAAATAATGCTATTATTCTTTTGGAAACAGAATATTTGATTTTCATAGAAATGACATGAATATATATGGAACAACCCATATTTATATTAATGTAACTTTTATTCTACAATGCCAGTCATCTAAAAAGAGTCAGAATGTTGCTTATGGTTGAGGTTTAGATGAAATTTAAAAGATTAATAAAATCAGCTTTGAAATCATGGTACATTTAAGAACGAAATTCAAGCCATTAACCTACTTCATAGCCCAATGGCAACATGTTATTGTTGTTGCTAAGTGCCATCCGTTGAGTTGGTTCCGACTCACAGCAACCTTGTATAGGGTTTCTGAGGAGCAGCTGGTGGGTTTGAACTGCAGATCTTGTGGTTTGCAGTCCAGTCCGGCTTCTACAATGCCACATCAGAAAGTCCAATACACCAGTCTTAGATTCACTCATTTACTGTAATCTGGGACATTACTTCACATAGCATCTTTTGAAGCAGTTTTGTTAGGTTTTGAAAGTTAAATAGAAATTTAGCCACAGTAAATTTTTCATTAAGAAACTATTTCAAAAGATGCCCTGTGAAGTGACACCCCAGATGACAGTAAATGAGTGAGTATGTTGTTGTTGCTAAGTGCCATTGTGTTGGTTCTGACCCATAGTGACCCTGTATAGGATTTCCAAGCAGCACTTGGTGAGCTTGAACAGCTGACCTTGCAGTTCAAACGACTTTGCAGTCTGGCTCATTAACCCACAATGCCACACATTGCCATTGGTCTATGTAGGTGGACTTGAATTTCACTTTTAATTATGCCGTGATTTCAAAACTGATTTCATCAATCCTTTAAATTACATCTAAATCTCAACCATAAGCAACATTCTGACTCTTTTTCACTATATTTGAGATTTTTTTTAAAAAACTGTATGTCATCTCAGCAGACAGGTGTTAATGTAAACTGTTTCGCAATAGTCAACCATTATAACACCAAAATTCTAGACCCTTCTGCAGAGTGAGAGAGAAAGAAAAATGTTTAACTTGCATTAAGATAGAATAGTTGAACTGACATAACAGCAAATATATGATGACTGAATTACTTCATTGCATTTAAATTCAACCTGGTGATAAAATAAAATATTATTTGGGTAAGCAACTAATAATTAGGCAATATTAAGGTTTTCTGGAAGTAAAAGAAATAGTGCATCTTATTTATCTTCAGGATATACCAATTTAAGACAATTGAGATAAAATTGCGTGGCAACTAAAATTCTTTGACAGGGTCAGATGGTAATGTAAAGCCTCTTAACACTTTACATTTGGCTTTTCTGTAAGTGAATTATTGATTGGATTTTACATCATTTAGTTTGATTTCTTTCTGTCTCCATAAGGGCTAAATGGAAATAGGGTTGAGGATGGGAAGGCATGAGTCTAAGAAACATAGAAATTAATGTCTCTGGCTGTTTTAGCAAGTCAGTTAAGAATGATTTGGAGATATACTTCTGTTAAGACAAAAAACAGATAAAGTAACTGAAAAGAAGAAAAATTTCTTATTGGATGAACTAAGTTTTTCCTTTTCCATCATAGATTCAGTGTACACAGAACGTTACATGGGTCTCCCAACTCCAGAAGATAACCTTGACTATTACAAGGTAAGAGATGAGAAACTGCCCATTTTGTAACCCATTTATAAGTGTTTTAAGAATATGTTTAAGTGTATCTATTCTGGAAAATATGTATTTTTGTTTCCAACAAAATTCTTGTTAAAAAGCAATAACACAGGTGGTCTATAGATACTCCATTAGCTTCCCCTGCATAATTATGTGATCACATTCTTTATCATATGCTGTATAGGTCACAATATGCATTCATTTGAAAATACAAAGCAACACCAGATAATTAAGTATAAAATTTTCAGTTTAGAAAACAACATGTCAAATTCAACATATTCTTTAGATCCTATAAGCCTATGTAAACCTCTAGCTATATATTAAAATTTCTCATATTATCATAATTGAGATGTCCATTCAAGGTTATAATTATCTTAGTCATAGCTACATATGTGCAGTTTTCATACACAAAATTTGAACATATCAGGTAAGGGGTATGTACAGTTGTTCAGTACCCTAAGAAACCATTGAGCTCAAATAATTAAATAGCATCTGACAGGCTGGTTTTCTGATAGGAGAATCAGTGGGCAGGTTCATCTACAGATGGCTATAGCATTTGAAATATGGTTTGAGTGCAACTGTCATTGGCAGCCCCCACGTGCCAGTGTGGATGCCACTACAAAGCCAAAACATGCTTTTTGGTGTCACACTGAAGCAGCTGGAATTGCTAGGGTAACGACTGAGAACCATTTTAGCACTCTCAGTCTTCCAAAGCATTTTTCCTGATGCTATTCTTTACCTTAGTTATAAAGAAAAACAACAACAACAAAATAACCCTGAAATGTGTGGATTATAAGGTAAATTCTCTCTATTTACATTTTCAAAAGAATATCTAAACTCTTCCCAAAATAATGAATTAGAAAGAACAAACAACAAGAATACTTAAAAAAAAAAAAAAAAAACACCTTGTTATTGTGCATTAAGTGAAGGTTTACAGAACAGATAGATCATTGGTTTAATATTCAGCAAATCATATACTTTGTTTCTTTACAATGGTTGCAATCCCCTCCATGTACCATCAGTTAACAGTATTTACTTCTATTCATTTTAGCTCTTGCATCCCTCCCTGTGTCTCCAACTCCTTTAGCTTTCTTCAGCTAACCTCCCTCTTATTGTATATGCCTGCCTCACCACCCATGTAAAAATGTGTGTCTAACCTCTAGTCCTTGAATAACTTTCTCTACCTCACCCCCATAACTATCATAGAATGCAACAAGAATACTTTAAGAACATACTTTTTCTTTATCTGGGCCATGACTTTGACACATGGGCCTCATGTTAATACATTGCCCTAAGCAGTATTTAGACATTTTTGGAAAACATCATCCTTACTATGGACTCTGATCTATATGATCAAGTTACAATAAAACACTATTAACATTTCTAGTTGTGCAACTTTATATAGCCCACCCCATTGCATCGAGTCTATTTCGACTCATAGCAACCCTTGACAGGATTCCAAAGCTCTAAAACTTTATAGAAGCACAAAGCCAACCATGTGATTTAGCAGTCCAATGGTCAGCTTATCCTACAGCTCGCATCAGGACCTCTTATGTAAGTATATAAGTATATGCAGTTTAATTTTACCTGTTATTTCTACCTTTAATTATCAAGGCTTGTGTGTGTCAATGAGAGAGAGCCAGTGTGTGTTACGGATCTGTGTATGTGCTTGTGTGTGTGCTTACCTCTGTGTTTTAGTCATGATAGAAAAGTAACAAGCTATGAAGTGTTTGCGCAAATCATCTATCTGGTCGTTTGTCCCTAAGTATGCTGATAATTAGACCCAATTCTTCCCAGATCATCTCTTCCACACTCAATAGGCTGTTTTAGACATCCTTTCTTCAAACTCTATTGCTGCTGTCATATGACCCATCTGCTTTATATCAATAAAAGAATTTGTCTCCTTGTCTTTCCACACTCCAGTCCATTGCATATAGAGCTCTGAGATTAACTACAACGTACTGTAGTGAGTCATTATGAGCTGGAACTGATTTGACGGCACTTAACAACAACAACAAGGATACTTTAATGGTCTCTATCTGGGTGCTCAACAAAGTTCCATCTTCCCTCTTCAACCAAACATTCAACACTTCTTATAACAGCTCAGTTTACCTGGAATGCTCACTGGTCTCTGTTTCTGGGCATTTTTCTTTGCTTACATTGTCTCTTTTGCTTGCAAACCATTTCCCTTCCATCCCCAAATGTTATGAAACGTGTACTGCTTCATCTCCCAGTACAAAAGGCAGCATATCCCTTTGAAGCCCATGACATTTTCTCTAACTCTTAATCCTTATTACATCCTATTTTGGATTTAATAATTATTTTGTGCTTGTTTTTCCCCTGTGAAATGTTGTCCGCTATTTAAAGCTTTCCTCAAAGTTGTGTTTGGATTGTCCAATATGGAGCATAAACCTTAAAACCTCTCTTGATTTAATTTTAAAAGCTCTTGGAAGTTAAATATTAAAAAAGCTGTATTTTTTCCTTCACTTCTCTCTTTTTCCAAGTTAATTTTTTACAACAATAATGTGACCTATAAGCCATTCTATTTGCTGAGTTGCCAAAGGTCATTCTCAGATACCCCAAGTACTAAAATCTCCTAAAACATTACAGGTGAACTTGCCAGGACCTTAACTCTGACTCTAGAATATGTGACATGATGGGTTAAAAGTTCATTTAAAATTCCCATTCTAAAGTAGAAGCACAAGGTGAAGTACAAACCCTGACATCTAAGGAAGTCCATGGTTCCCACCCTACTTCCCTCCATGAAGATTAGCTGAGTGGGTATTTCTTCATCATGCAGTCCTCCCACTGAGGCTGATACATAGGATCTGCCATGTCAACCTGCCTCTTTTTCCAGGCTTTCTTATAGGCTTCTTCTTCCCACACAAGAGGCCCCTAGCTGTACCCCCAACTGCGGTGGCCATTTTCATCTTTCCCCTTAGGTGTTCCATGCGTGAGGTAGTCATGTAAATAGAAGTCACTTCCTACTGCCAATGGCAACACATGCACATTGGGTGCACAAAGTCACGCTTTCACTTCACTGCACAGATGGCACTAGAGGACTGTTTAATCCTTCCACGCCAGGAGTCGGGTTTTCTTGGCACAAAATTTATTGCTGGCAATGGACACATTAAAACTGCCAGTACCAGGGAGCTAAAGGTTCCCAATGTGTTACTCAGAAGAATTATTTGTGAGGGTGATAGTTAAGGTGGGCAGGAGAAAGTGAGGCAAATGCTTTAAGTGAGTTGTTTCCAGGATGGTACGTTGAGTCCTCCTCAGTTGTGGAGAACTGAATCTAAGGGCCTATTTTTGGTGCACAGCAGGCTTCAGGATCAAGCTGCCCTCCTTTGTTTTTTAAATGAGCCAGTGCTTTTGTCTCTGGCAGGAACGTATTCAAAGATTCTGTTTTCTCCAAGGCCCCAGCTGCTACTCTGGACCCCATCTTTTACACTTGTTTCCCTCCTTCCCAGGTTGTTTTTATTTTTGTTTCCTCTCTTCTATATCTTTCTCTGTTTGTCTCTGTCTCTCTCCTTCCCTCCCTTGTACTCTTTGAGATGAAAAAGAAGACAATTTTCACCACCCTGGACATTTCTGTGTGTCCTAAGGATAGATTTTGCAAATGATTCATGTTTGCTCTGGTTGAACTGGTCCCTTGATTGATTCTAGTACATTGAGGACAAGAATGTCCAAAGGGCACTGGTCTTTGTCATGTTCCCAAGTGACATTCCCTTTCAGCTAAAGAAAACCACCCATACAGAATCAGAGCCTCTGGAAAAGAGTAGCATTTTTAATAAAATTCAAATGAGAAAAGGATTCATTGTTGAGTTCTTGATGATCTAAATTTGGAAGAATCTGTAGAAATCCACATCACCAAGAGAAACCTGTCTTGTGAAATCAAGGTCCTACTTACAGTCTAGGAGAGGGAATTAGAAGAAGCATTTGCATACTCAGGTGTGACAGGCAGAGGCCTCCTCTATAGTTAGTTGTAGCTGGTGTCTATAGGGAACTAGTCTCTGCTTCAGTTATTGGAGTGTACATCTATCTATAGGAGGGCATCCAAGTGGAGGCGTGTGCCATATAAACTAGAGAATTTGGGGACTAAGGCTTAACCTCAATGCAGTGACACAGCAGTGCACTTGTAAGATGTTTCTTAGAGATAATCACCCATCTACTGCCAAGTAGGAGGAGCAGTACCCGTACTGTGGGATAAAGCACTGGGCCACAAGGTTGGTTCCAACAACAAGGTTCAACCTCACCAGCTACTACCCTATACACGGGTCTCTATGCATCAGAACAGATTCCACCACACTTAACAACAGCTGCCAAGTAACAAGATGGAAATACTTTGAATGGATAACAGGAATTCAGAAAAAAAAGTTGCATGTTTCCATTAAATCCCAAGGAACTGCTTTCAGAAGCTCTACTGTGGCTAGCCAGAGTGGAGGAGCAACAAATCAGAACTAATGAGTGTGTAACTCTGTAGCAAGCCCTTTTCTGCAGTGAGTTATTGACCCACAGCAGACAGAAATGATGAAAGAATTTGAGCCAAGTGACTATGTGTAGCTAATACCCCCAACAGCAATAAGTAAACTCCAATTGTAACCCCACTTAAATTAATGAATGGTTTCTCATACTATCAATTATTGAATTTTTAGCCAAATTTGTGCAGGTCGCTGTTGGAATTGACTTGATGGGAGTAAGTTGGCTTGATTTGGTTCTTTGTGTAGGTTAAAAAAAAAAAGTGGTACACTTTCTTGCCTTCACCCATTCAAAGTGCTTAGTAGTTTTTGTTGTGCTTTTCTTTAAAATAAATGCCCAAAGTTTTGGGATAGAATAAATAATAAAACATAAACTTGAATATGGCAAAGTGCTCAATATGTGTGAAGTAAACTTTTGGTTTCCAAACTGTGATTGTGAAGTCCCAGGAATTCAACACCTTGGGAGCATGGGAGGAATGGAAGAGGAGTAACCAAGAAGTTAAG